GTATACCGATAGGAAAATTAATTTCCTAATTTTTCTGTCGGTATTTTCCATTTCACTATCGATTTTATATCAACAGGGAAATCTTGGTTTCTAGTAGTGATTATTGATGAGTTTAGGCCGCGTTTTGAATCTTTTAGGACTTAAAATTAGCCCGAGGCTTTGGACGCTGAATAGCAGGGGCTAAACACACATATATAAGCCCGAGCCTATTCGTTTTGACTTATACGATCGTGGATTATAAGCTGGAATAGTATTTTTCTCTCACACCAAACCAGCCCACGGTACTTCTAGCTTATAACCCACGATCGTTTCAGCCGAAAAGAACAGGCTGTACTCGTACACAGTTATAGCCCACCTCGGATAAATTGGGCCTGTTCGCTGGTTGATGCTGGTGCTGGTTTGAGCTGGCTGGTGCTGGTTTTTTGTGAGAGAAAAACACTGTTGACTGGCTGGTTTGGGCTAACTGAAACCAACAAGCGAACAGACTCGTTGATCCATACTTCCTACCATTAGATTATTTTAATTTAAGTGTCACGTGTAAAGTTGATTATGTAAATAAATGTTGGGAACTGCTCCTGTGCTTCTCTTTCTAAAAACGACGCACGTCTCAAAGCAGTCAATTCAAACAAATTATTTTATTATTATTTTCGCAACTGGGTCCCACATGGGCCCAGCCCGAGCCCAACCCTGATCCACAGGGAAGTCACGTGTGTTCAGGTCTCTGTCCGTTCCTTCTCACGAAGTCATCTCTCCTCAGGTCCCCAGCAGCGGCGGGCGGCGGACGAATCCAACTACGGTACCTCCTTCCCAGATCCCATTTGGGATTTTTTTATTTTAAATCATTTTTATTCAATATTTTAATAATAATCGCTCCTAAATTTTCTTTGCGGATTTAACCCTTTTGGTCGTGCCAGCAGCGCAAATAATGTTGTCGCGCCACATGCAATGGCGCGGCAACATCCGCCACGTTAGATGGCATTTCCAACGTGGAAAACGCTGTCACGCCACTCCCGCTGACGTGATAATATTGTTCTGTCGCGTCACCGGGAGTGGCATGACAAGACCAAATCTTTAAAAAATCATAACTCTTTGATACGACGTAGGATGAAGATGAAATTTATATAAAAATTGTAGCTCTCGATGAGATTTACAACTTTGTAGTTTTGAGTTTTTTCATTTGAGGATGTTAAGATGCTCAAAAAAATAATATAAAATTTTAGCACTATAATAATCGCGTACCAGCGCTTGTCGTATTAGAAAAATAATATTATTTATATATGTTGTCCAATGAAGATATTTTTTACATAAAGTTGTAGCTCTCAATGAGATCTACAACTTTGTAGTTTTGACTTTTAACATTTGGAGTCCTTAATATGCTCAAAAAAATAATTTAAAATTTTAGGAATATAATAACCGTGTATTAGTACTTGTCGCATTAGAAAAATAATATCGTTTCTTTATGTTGTCAAATGAAGATACTTTTTATATCAAAAGTTGTAGCTCTTAATGAGATCTACAACTTTGTAGTTTTGAGTTTTAATATTTAGAGTCGTTAAGATGCTCAAAAAATAAATATAAATTTTAGTAGCATAATAATTACGTAGTAGCGCTTGTCGCGTATGAAAAATAATATCGTTTTTGTATCGTGTCAAATGAAGATACTTTTTATATCAAAATTTGAGCTTCAAATAAGATCTACAACTTTTATTTAAAAAGTAATTTTATGTGACATCAACTAAGAAATATACGATTTTTCTAAAAAGATATGTTTTGATACACTATTAATATGCTGCTAAAACTTTATATTAGTTATTAGAGTATGTTAACGACCTCAAATATGAAAACTCAAAACTATAAACTTGTAGATCTCACTAAGGGCTACAATTTTGATATAAAATGTATCTTCATTTGACACCATACAAAAAAGATATTATTTTTTAAATACGGCAAGTGCTGGTATGCGATTATTATGGTGTTGAAATTTTATATTATTTTTGGAGCATTTTAACATCCTCAAACGAAAAAACCTCAAAACTAGAAAGTTGTAGATCTCGTCGAGATCTACAATTTTCATATAAAAATCATCTTCATTCAACACTATGTTGAAGAGTTATGATTTTTTGAAAATTTAGTCATGTCACGCCACTCCCGGTGGCGCGACAAGACAATACTGCCACGCCACCGAAAGTGACGCGACAAGCTTTTCCACGCCGGAAACACTATCCAACATGGTAGATGTTGCCACGCCACATGCGTTGGCGCGACAGCGTTGTTTGATCGCGTCAGCGATAGCGCACGAAAAAAGGTCCGATCTGAAAAAAAATTTTTTAGCGGTTATTATTAAAATATTGATTAAAAATGATTAAAAATAAAATTCTCCTCCCATTTGCTGGCAGCCGGCAAGGAGGTTCGGTGGGTCGTCGCCGTGGACGAAGAAGAAGCCCCCGCGAGCTGCCGGGCCACCGGCCGGGAGGCGCCTGTTCGCCGTCGACTTTGCAGAAGGACATCCAGAAGGCCCTTTTGAGGAATATAAAGATTTCATGTCCTGTTGTCTCGTCTCACCCATCACCCACTTGCAGAAATGGGCACTCGCAGTCGCAGAAGTATTCTGTCGTAGTAACATGAGATCGGAGGAGGGGGAAGGAACTGCGGCACTAGGCTCGGTCCGTCGGTCGCCGCTGCACGGGAATGAAAGAGGGAGCAGACGACAGCGGACGCAAGTTGAACGGCGGCGTGAGAAGGAACGGACGGAGACCTGAACACACGTGACTTCCCCTCTGGATCAGGGCTGGGCTTGGGCTGGACTTGGATGGGCTGAGCCCATGTGGGGACACAGTTGCCAAAATAATAAAAAATAATAATTTCTTTAAATTGTTGCTTTGAGATGCGTGCAGTTTTTAGAAAAAAGAGTACAACGTCCGGCGTTTTCCAGACGCGGATAACAATTGACTACGACGCATGCGTGTCCTCCTCCACTCATCTCTTCACGGCCTTATCCGCTCGTCGCACCATCCGCTCATTCCCACACCACCTCGCTCCCTCCCACGACGCGCACCTACTCACGACGCAAGGGTCCATCGCGCCGCGCACTCCATCCAACGTCGTTGCTCCCCATCCGCTTGCTCGCACCCCGTGGCTCGTGCGCCTCTTGCCCCTCTCGTCATGCGTGCCGCCGGCTCCCTCCCTGGCTAGCGCGGTGGTGCCCTCACCCACCCCGACGTCCTCCTCCGCCACCGCGGCATCCTCCTCCTCCCCAACCCTGGCGGCTCCTTCCCCCACCCCGACGTCCTCCTCACTCACTCCAGCGACGCCCCCCCCCACACCGGCGTCCTCCCCCATCGGGACAGAGTACATTCAAACGAACAAATGCAAGGTAAAGCGAGTGATGAAGAGCATAGTGTGGCTTGGGTTAAGGCCAGGCTCAGCATTGAGGCTAAGCATTCGCCGAGGATTGGCAAGGTGGTGGCCAACGGGCGAAGCAACATGTAGAGCGTTGCGGGCAGGTGTCATGAATGCCCATGCTAGGGCAGGGCCAGGGCCCCATGCCACGTGATCGTTGAGAGTCGCCGACAAGTCGACAGGGAGCAAAGCAAATAGAGTGAGGACCAAGGAGGAAGAAGATAGCGTGAAGGGCATGATACAGGTTGTTCGATTGTTGATTTCAGCCCGGGTTTATCAGCCAGCCAACAGTATTTTTCTCTCACAACAAACGAGCACCAACCGGACTTATCAGCTCAGAAACCAACCAGCGAACAGGCTCATAGACATTTCATACTCTACTTTCTCTCTCCTGATGTTGGATAAATAATTATCTCAATGATGTCCGCGATAAAGGTACACGCTTTTATATTGGAATGAAATTTTTAGATTAGCCGTGTGTACCAACAAATAAGCTGAAGAACCGTGTCCCTAACCAAAATGTGCATTAGGCCATGTTGGGTTCCAAGAGGACTTCCTAAAATTTCTATCACATCGAATGCTTGATACATACATGAAGTATTAATTATAGACTAATTACGAAACTAATTGCATAACTTGTGATTAATTTGTGAGACGAATCTTTTAAGCCTAATTAGTCCATAATTTGACAACGTGGTGCTACAGTAAACATGTGTTAATGACAGATTAATTAGGCTTAAAAATTCATCTCAGAAATTAGCCTCCATCTATGTAATTGGTTTTGTAATTAATCTATATTTAATGTTCCTTATTAGTATCTAAACATTTGATGTGCCATAAATTTTAGGAGCGACTAAAGAACCACGAACCCTCTTAAACAATATGTGTTGCCCTTGAATTAATCGACTTAAGGCCTGTTTGGTTTTTACGGGCCTCCATAAAATTCTGTCACATCGAATGTTTAGATATATGTATGGAGTATTAAATATAGATTAATTACAAAACTAATTATACAACTTGCGACTAATTTCGTGAGACGAATCTTTTAAGTCTAATTAGTCCATGATTTGACAACGTGGTGCTATAGTAACATATGCTAATGATAGATTAATTAGGCTTAAAAAAATCGTCTCGTAAATTAGTCTTCATCTATATAATTGGTTTTATAATTAATTTATTTTTGATGCTCTTTATTAGTATGTAAATATTTGATGTGACATAAATTTTATAGCGAAACAAACACCCCCTTAGCGAGACCACACCCTACTAGCTCTGGCCACTGCAGGACAAAATGTGGCCTTGTGCGTAGCTGCAGTGAAGTGACAGCGCAGGGTAAAAAGAGATGAGCCTAGCCTGCACTGCAGCTGTCCGTTTCGTTTCATGAGAGGATCCATTCAATCAATCAATCCCTTTATATGCAGATGTCTGCAGGCCGTTCCCGGGCGCAGGCAGATTTGCTTTGCACACTAGCGAGTTGAGGTTGAGCAGAGCTCTCTCATGGTCGCTCTCGCTCCCTCTTCGCCTGCCTCCGCCTGGACCTGCCTACCACACCAGTACACCACACCCACCCTTTCTTCCATTTCTCCGTCCGTCGGATCCGGATGGGCCACCGCCATCTCTTCGTCCTCTCGCTGGGGCTGGCGTTTCTCCTCATCGCCACCGCGCACGCCGGAGGCCATGCTCGAGGCGCCGGTGCCATCACCCAGGTACCCCTTCACTGACTACTGACTACTACTGTTCGCACTCCATGGTTAGGCTTCAAGATCCTAGCGCTGTGACAGCAGGGCATGGACGATGGTGTCCGGAGCATGATGAGGAGCATGGTCGGGTCGAGGCCGCCGAGCTGCGCGGGGAGGTGCTGGTGGTGCGGGGGCCGCCGCTGCGAGGCAGTGCAGGTGCCCATCACGCCGCAGGAGCAGGACAAGAGTCTCCGCCATGGGAGTGGAGGCGGCGGCGAAGGCTGGAGATCAACAAGAGATGGCAGCAGAGGAGCGTCGTCGTCGTCGGCTCAGCAGCAGCACCAGCAGCGGCGGCGGCCGTCGACGTCGTCCTACGACGACCACTCCAACTACAAGCCGCTCAGCTGGAGATGCAAGTGCGGCGGGGGCTAGCTGATATGGCTGCAGCTGAAGCCTGCATGCGTCCATGCATGGATCGATCAGGGCGCGTCTTTCTTATCTTGCAATGTGATGATGATGCATGATCTTGCGTTGTCGATCGATCCAGTTGCTTGCAATGTGGATATAGAAGAAGTAGCTTGCTATGTCTTTGTGGCTCTATCCGATCCATTGCTTGTCTTAGCGACTTGTTAGTGAGTTTAATGAGGAGATGTGCTACTTAACCAATAAACTAGTGTTTTACTCGAGGATACGGATGGATTTGCATTTTGTTATTTTATATTACCATTATTAATCTTGGGAGTTTTGCTAGCTCGGGCTTTCCTTCTCGCTAAGTTAAAGCACGTCATGCAGCTGCATGTACTCACCACTAACATTTATAATACATAATAATAAATATCATTAGATTTATAAAAAAATATTTTTCCACTAAATGTTGGTGTAGAAAATGACCAACAAGTGAATATTTGTACTTTTACCGTACGTTGTGATCGGAGGTGGCCTAGCACTCAATGACACAAGGTTTATACTGGTTCAGACAACGTGCCCTACGTTCAGTTTGAGTCGGTCGGTGACTTTATTGCTGAGCTCAGGTGCTCGAAGTTTGCAGTGAGGTTACAAATGAGATGGAGAAAGATGGGGGACAAGAGATCCGCTCGGACTCTGGTCAGAGGGACCGAAAGCGACGGGAGCCCCGCTATGAGCTAAGTGTTCAAGCGTGTGCTTGAGGTTCAAACCTGAGCGATTCTGTGGTTGTGAACTAATGAACTTGATCGATCTGAATCAACCTGAAATGACTTGAATGTTGGGAGAGAGCGCATCCCCTTTTATAAATGAAGTGGATGGCCTGACAAGTGAGAGGGAGGGAGTATGTGTGTTTCTAAGCCTCGCTACCCACGCCGGCGGGTACATGATAATGATAGGCGCCCACAACACTGTTGACTGTTAGATGCACGTGGGAGGTTGTGTCATCTTGTTTGGGTATGGCAGATGTCGGTACCTGCTATACTGTTGATGGCTAGAGGCATGTGAGAAGTTTTACTATGTTCACTCGGTACGGTAAATGTCGGCGCCCATAACACTGTCGATGCCCAGAGGCATGTGGGGAGCCTTACCTTATGGGAGTTAATGATGCCCACAATACTATAGGAAAAAGATCGGCGCCTACAATCTTGTTTGATCTATGTTGTGCCAGGGATGGTCGCAGGATACTGCCTGGCAGGTGCGCAGGGTATGGTCCCTATATTGCGGTTTTGACTTGTGCGCCATGCCTTACTTTCTTTGGATGTTTCCTGGTCCTTAGCGGTAGGCGTCCCGGTCGGTTAGTCCCTAATCGGCTCGATCGCGCGCCGATCGGAGAAGAGCGATGATGGTGGGCTTGGCGTATCCCCGGTCGGAGAGCGCGGGTCGGAGTTGGAAGCGGTGCTTTTGGCCAAGCCTTCAGATCGGAGAGGCCGTCTGGAGGCGGAGCTGGAGACCGAAGCGAGCGCTCCGGTCGGAGAGGTGGACCGGAGTCAGAAACGGGCATTGTTCCACCTCGGCCTGGCCTTCCGGACGATGGTTGGATTGCCTTTCTGTCCTATCGTTTAGGTACTTGGGCCGGCCCATGAGTTGCGCGTTGTTCGCAATGTTGCCTGTTGGGCCGAGCCTTTATTTGGAAGCCGATCCGAGAGGGACCTCGGGTTTATGAACTCGATAGGAGCCCCCGAGCCCCCGGGTGATTCGGGTAGAATCATCTGGGAGTTTTTTGTCTTGACGGTGGGTGCGCGCGAGAGCGCCCGCGGGTGTAGGCCCTAGGCGATTCGGGTAGAATCGTCTGGGGGTTTTTCGTGTTGCCAGCGGAGGAAGTTTTTTTTTGTCAGCGGGTGCGCGTGAGCGCATCCGCGGGTATAGCCCCCGAGCCCCCGGGTGATTCGAGCAGAATCGTTTGGGAGTTTTGTCAGCGGGCGTGTGTGCGTGTTTTTTAGTCGAGACGAAGTCATCAACCAAGGTGTCATTGCGCAACTGAGGTGTTTAGTATAGGGATCAAACAAGATGGAGCTCGTTGATGCCTGGCGTCGGTGCGCGCCATGGGATCGGGCGAGTCGGAGTCGTGGATCCTAGCGTCGGTGCAGCTTGTGCAGCCGAGGCAGTTAGTATAGGGATCAGACGAGACGGAGCTCGCTGATCCTAGCGTCAGTGCATGACGTGGAATTGGGTGAGTCAGAGTCATGGATCCTGGTATTGGTGCAGCCTGTGTAGCCGAGGCAGTTAGTATAGGGATCAGACGCGACAGAGCTCACTGATCCTAGCGTCGGTGCGCGCCGTGGGATCGGGTGAGTCAGAGTCATGGATCCTTGCGTCGGTGCAGCCTGTGCAGCCGAGGCAGTTAGTATAGGGATCAGACGAGACGGAGCTCGCTGATCCTGGCGTCAGTGCACGCCGTGGGATCGGGTGAGTCGGAGTCATGGATCCTGGCGTCGGTGCAGCCTGTGCAGCCGAGACAGTTAGTATAGGGATCAAACGCGATAGAGCTCACTGATCTTGGCGTCGGTGCGCGCCATGGGCTCGGGCGAGTCGGAGTCGTAGATCCTAGCGTCGGTGTAGCCTATGTAGCCGAGGTAGCTAGTATAGGGATCGGATGAGACGAAGCTCGCTGATCCTGGCGTTGGTGCGCGCCGTGGGATTGGGCGAGTCGGAGTCATGGATCCTGGCGTCGGTGCAGTCTGTGCAGCCGAGGCAGTTAGTATAGGGATCGGACACGACGGAGCTCACTGATCCTGGCGTCGGTGCCCGCCATGGGATCAGGCGAGTCGGAGTCATAGATCCTAGCGTCGGTGCAGCCTGTGTAGCCGAGGCAGTTAGTATAGGGATCGGACGCGATGGAGCTCGCTGATCCAGGCGTCGGTGCGCGCCGTGGGATCGAGTGAGAAAGAGTCATGGATCCTAGCGTCGGTGCAGCCTGTGCAGCTAAGGCAGTTAGTATAGGGATCGAACGCGACGGAGCTCGCTGATCCTGGCGTCGGTGCACGCCGTGGGATCGGCCGAGTTGGAGTCATAGATCCTGGCGTCGGTGCAGCCTGTGCAGCCGAGGCAGTTAGTATAAGGATCGAACTAGACGGAGCTCGCTGATCCTGGCGGTAGTGTGCGCCGTGGGATCGGGCGAGTCGAAGTCGTAGATCCTAGCGTGGGTGCAGCCTGTGCAGCCGAGGCAGTTAGTATAGGGATCAGACGCGACGGAGCTCGTTGATCCTAGCATCGGTACGCGCCGTGGGCTCAGGCGAGTCGGAGTCGTAGATCCTGGCGTCGGTGCAGCCTGTGCAGCCGAGGTAGTTAGTATAGGGATCGAACGAGACGGAGCTCGCTGATTCTGGCATCGGTGCGCACCGTGGGATCGAGCGAGTCAGAGTCGTAGATCCTAGCGTCGGTGCAGCCTGTGCAGCCGAGGCAGTTAGTATAGGGATCGAACGAGACGGGGTCGCTAATCCTGGCGTCGGTGCACGCCGTGGGATCGGGCGAGTCAGAGTCGTAGATCCTGGCGTCGGTGCAGCCAGTGCAGCCGAGGCAGTTAGTATAGGGATCATACGAGATGGAGCTCGTTGATCCTGGCGTCGGTGCACGCTGTGGGATCGGGCGAGTCAGAGTCGTGGATCCTGGCGTCGGTGTGCAACCCAGCAAGCCGAAAGCGATTAGTATAGAGATCGGACAAGACGAGCTCGTTGATCCGGCATTAGTGTGTGCGCCGTGGATCGGGCGAATCGGAGTCATGGATCTGGTGTCGGTTGCAGCCATGACCGAGGCGATTAGTCGATTAGTTTAGAGATTGGGCGAGCCAGAGCTCGCGGATCCTGATGGGGCGAGTTCGGGGTCACAGACCCAGGCGTATTGGGTGTGCAGTCGAAGCGTAGCCGGATGGGGCGAGTTCAGGGTTGTAGACCTAGGCGTTTGGTGTGTAGTCAAAGCGTAGCCGGATGGGGCAAGTTCAGGGTCGCAGACCTAGGTGTTTCTTGAGCCCCCGAGCCCTGTTGGGCTTTTGGTAGGGGTCGGTTTGAGTTATGTGCGTTACCCCATCCTCAGTTTCTCTCAACCGGAGGGGCTGAGTTTGTCCCTTCTCCCGATCGCTCAGGCTCGAGTGACGTGCTCGGTGAGTTCGCTAACGGGTGTGATCAAGCGGAATCTGGGTCTGTCGTTCATGACGGGGTCGGCATAGCCCTCTTGTGACTTTCCACTACTCCTTTACCTACAACCCGGCAGATGCCTAGGTCGTTCCGGAGACCGACCCGGGTGGCTTGATGGCCTTCCCTCGATGGAGATTATGTGGGCTTGGCGAGAGGTTTAGGATCGAATGAGAAGGTTGAGATGACCCTATCTGCTTTGGGGCAGACCGGGCGAGGGCCGCACAGGGCTCATCTGCATTTTCTCCCCTAGCTCTATTTGACGTGGGGCGCCCTCGAGCCCTTCGTGGACTAGCCTTCGAACCTCGGTTGGTCATTGCTCATGTCGGATGAGGCAACTACCGCTTCATGATCCACACGGAGCGTTGTGATGCATTTGGCTGCATTAGCGATGCTTAGTTCCCGAGCCCCCGGACGGTTCGGGGCCCGAATCGTCCGGGGGGCACGGGCGTATGGAATGAATGCGCGTATGGATGTATGAATGAATGTATATAAAGAAATAGCTGGGGTCGGTAGCGTTACCTTGATGACTCGAGTGACGGGGTTTGAAGAGCTCCAATCGGAAATGTCCGACCGGGACCCATGCTCGTTGTTCATGACAGAGTCGACATGGCCTGCATGGGGCATCCCTTTGCTCCTTACTTGTCTCTTGGTGTTTTTCTGAGCCGTTTGATTGACTTAGGAAGCCCGATGGTTTCTCATGGCGGAGATCCCGTCGTTTGGGTTTTTCCAAGTCCCGCCTGGGGAGGCGGAGAGCTACCTATGGTGACGCTTTGGTTTTCGCGCCTAGTGTGCGATAGTGGTGGGCCATACCTAGGCCACGTCCCATCTTACCAGGCG